TTTGTACATAATTAAATACAATAATTCTTCAGAGATAAGGGTCTACCAAAATTTTGATTGATCTAATCATGGTGTGCCTCATTTTCTAATTTAATATAGTCGTTGAGGTTTCATTATACTAATAATAATAATATCTTGATCATCAAACCAATCTCATCACCCTTTCATTTCTCCTACTGCGATGCAAGCTACGCTAAATATGCGGAGTGCTTATTGCTCATCCTAGACTTGAATGCTCGCGTGAGGTGTAGTTTGTACTTTTCTTTCTATTGCTAAAAAATTTCTATTGGAGCCGACCGTTCAAAGCATTATCCAAAAACTAAACTCATAAATTAGCATTTCTTCTTAAGCCATACTGACATGTGCATCGTAATTAATCAGGCTTATCGTCTCACTTCATTTATTTAAACATGATTGGTTAGGATGTTTAGCCAACTTGCTATTTTTAATTACCATCATTAGGCTCTCTCAGTCCTCTGTCAAGCATATAAATGTGGCCAATGAATACTGTAGATGTCTTTGCAAGCTTAATCCCATTCACCTGATGACAAAAGTATATCCGTCTTTCTCTCAACTATCAAAAAACTCATCATCCTTCAATCATGTAAGTTGCAGACCTGAAACTTTTACCATATGGATGAAGTCACTCGTCTTGAATGGCAATGGTTGCACTGTTTACAATTCCAAGGGACAGATTGCGTATCGTGTCGACAACTATGACCACAAATGTGGAGGCGAAGTCTATCTCATGAATCTTGATGGCAAGATACTGTTTAAGATAGTCAAGAAGGTAAGGAATTTCCAACTATTATGTGATTGAGGAAATATATCTAGTTACCTAAACCTGAGGTGAAATTTGTTACCTGCAGAAACATAGAATTTGTGGGAGATGGGAAGGCTATAAATGCAACGATGGCTTACAGGGAGAAAATTCGAGGCCATGGTTCAAGGTCAAAAAGCCTTGTTATATTTTGCGAGGTTTCCAACCATTATATTGTGAAGTATCAGTTGATGCTGACCACAGCATATGTTGTAAGATAAATAAGACGTCAAATTCATCGTATAAGATAGTTGGTATCTCAGGCGAGCTTCTTGCCGAGGTAGGCCTCTTCTTTGTGTGCAAATAAAGCAGCTTTTAATGCATAAAATTACTTCTTTGCTTAGAATTTAATTCTTTGATCAGGTAAAGAGAAAGCACACAAAATCAGGGATTGATTTGGGTGATGATGTCCTGACTCTGGTGGTAGAGCCTAATATAGATCAGTCTCTTATCATGGGAATGGTGGTTGTGTATGCTCTCGTGAAGTTTAATATGTAAGCATGCGTGCCTAGATTTGAAGCTCAAATATCGGCTAGATATTTGTTTGTTCAAAGAGAGAGTCTTGCTTTAATTGCGTTGAGAGAGTCTCCTGCAATTGTTCAGTTCCCCTTTAAGTATTTTCTTGGATAGCCAAGATTTTCTTAGGGGTCTGCTAATAGAACGTGTTGTCTTTTGTGTCTTTCAGTTATTATAATTTTGTTGTTTGTGTGTCAATTCAATTAGTCGTTTATCTTTCATGAAAAGAGCGAGCCGTTCTTGTCCGTGCATCAATCTGAAAATTTACCATAACTTAAGGAACTTACCTTGCGTTTGATTTATGTGATAGTTATTGGGAAATTATGTTGTAGGAAGATATTAACTCTATATATGTACTAAAGTTAAAGCAGATATGCAGACCAAATTTGGTGAAGAAAGGATCGTTTACGGACCAAGTACTAGACAAATCCATGTCTTTCCCATCAAAGCAAGCATCCTGTTATATCTTCTCTTGTTGTTGTGTGGTCAAATGTCTTCCATTAATGGAACCTCAATACAACCACACTTTTAGAAGAGAATGATGTCAAACATAACAATAACATACACAAATAAAATATAAAAAGCAGGTTCATCTTGACATAACTTTATGGAGCCAGGAGATAAAAAATAACTGTTTCAATAGAAGGCAATTTCCTATCCTTGAATTAAAATACATCAAAATTCTTGAGCAATCTCAATTGTTCTAAACAACCGTTGAAATTTCGTAATATTAGAAATTAAAGCACGTCAAGATTCTTTGCATATTAGAAGTGTTGTGCGCGGCGGAAGCTTTCTAGGGCAACACGAACAATAACTAGAACTAAACCACAAACAATATGCAAACCACAATCACAGCAAGAACACACAATTTACGTGGTTCCGCAAGTTGCCTACGTCCACGGGGCAAGGAGGGGGGAGTTCTTCCACTAGAAATCAAGAGAATACAAATAGGGTTACAAATCTCTCAGACCAAACCCTAAAACAAAGCTCTAGATCTCTCAAAGCTCTCTCCCAATTGGATGCAATGATTCTCTCTCTTTGGCTGCTCAAATTCGTCCAACCTCTACCCTAAATAAACAGGTTTAGGTATATATAGAACTTACAAAACGAATCGGGTCGAAAACCTGAAAGCCCAGTCCAAAACAGCGTCGGTCGACCGGACCGGTCGACCGCGATCAATTCCGGTCGACCGGCCCGGTCGACCGACCAGCTCTCAGTAGAAAACCCAAACTCCAGAGAACCCCTCGGTCGACCGCACCGGTCGACCGACCACCTTCCTGACGCACAGTAAGCTTTGTGCACGAATGCGGTCGACCGGACCGGTCGACCGCCGCCTGCATCCAGCAGAAGCCCCAAAAACCCAGAGAGCCGTCGGTCGTCCGCACCGGTCGACCGAAACATCTGCGGTCGACCGGGCCGGTCGACCGACCTCCTTCCAGACGAACAGGAACCCTTGTGCACGAATGCGGTCGACCGGACCGGTCGACCGCCGCCTGTTTTTCCTGATTCTGCTGCTGATGCTGAAATTCCTTCACTCGACTCATTATTATTTTTAAATCAACACAATCAATATTAATAAAGTTACACAATCAATGTATACGAGTGCAAACAGCTAAAATATAAACCCAATAAGAATACTGTAAATGGTCAACTTGTAATCATTAATATATATTGTTCTATTCTCTACCTAAGTGATTTCCTAGAGAGGGCTCTCTTTATTTCCAAGCACAAGCTATCAAAGTGTTGTGGTAGCAGTACAAACAATACAAAGACCAACGCAAAGATGTTGTCAGGATTCCTTTCCTTTGCCTCCACGCTGCCTCGGCTCTAGTTGGCCTCTCCCTCTTGGTGCTATCATGCTCTTGCCCTTGGCTTTGCACACATCCCCACTTGCTCTACTCACTCATCCACTCACCTACCCCTTTTCATTTTGTTTTGGGAGAGTGTTATAAGGGGAGCATCTCGTCTCTTCTTTTGTTTCCTCTTGGATGTTTCGTTACATTTAGATAACTTTGCGTGTTGTTCTCTTTTCATTATCATTATCATGTTAAGGTTTAGCTAAGATTGAGAGGGATTCTGAGCTCACAATCACACGTCTAAAACTTCTTTTGATGATTTTATAGTGGTGAGTAGTGGAGTGGTGAAAGATCTTCTACCCTTGGATATCGGCCTACATTTTGATTGCATGGTCAAGCCGGGTGAAGGAAAAGGGCCACTTGCTTTCTGTACATTAGGAATCCTATGACAACCACCACAATAGGAATATGCACTCCTTTTTGTAGATTGTGGTGAGAACTAATTACTGCAACGTATATGATGGCATTTGAGTCATATAGAGCAAGTTAGGTCATATAGAGCAAGTTAATTAAGTTAAGTTAGTCCAGATCAAAATATAGATATTAGATTCATATCTAACTCGTTAATTCAGGGTAATGATAAAACCTTCTCTAATGTGGCTAGCATAGTAGATCGTATCTCTCGTCCATCTTTTCATAGCTTATTTAGCAGAATGAATTTGTCTCATATCCAAAATTTTCCCATTTGATACAATAAACAATTATTCGAACGAATAATGAGTTTCTTGTAAAAAAAGTTAGAAAAAATAAAACGGGTGTTGGGGGAAAAAGTTTGGATCCAAGTTGACGAAAGGATTAACTCTTAACTAAGACATAAGTCCAAACATATTTCATCTATTGTCGCCAAAGGCTAAATCTGGAATAAAATAGATATAAAACAGCGGAAGCTGAAGTGCTGTATTTTAAAACTTTTCAAGTTAGCTGCTGTTCGTTTGTGAAACGTTATGCTTAAAGCAATATTTGGCCTACTCCAATGCAAGAATCCCAAGGTCAAACTGCTTTCAGAAATAGCAGTACAGTACAATGGTGTGCACCAACCAAGTAATCTCAAGATTTCCTTAAGACATTTCTGTCAAGGCAACGATGTCAAGATCTCCTTGATCTATAAGACCTTTTGATCAAGGTAACGATCTCCTCGATCTGTTAAAACCTTTTGGTTAAAACCTTTCGGTTCAGGTCTATGTTCCTTCGGGCACATGCTAAAGCTTACACGCTTTTAAACTATACAGCAGCAACACAACAACTCAACAGATTCAACTCGGCAATGCCGAGACACCCTTGGGGGTGTCTCGGCAATGCCGAGACACCCCTAGGGGTGTTTCTCCCCTAGTTTTGTCTTGTTCCTTTTTTTGGCCTCTTGTGCATGGTCCCCCCCTCCTTTATTTTGAATTTCAAGAGAGAACCCCACCCCCAAAACCGAATTCTTTCCCCCCATTTTCGGTTTTCTTTCTTCTTCCTCCCCCTCTTTCCTCCATTGATTTGCTCTTGAGAACCCTTCAATCCCTTAAAAGATTCGGGATTTTGACGGGTACCCATTTGCCGGAATCTTCTCCTCTTTCAAACGAGGGTCTTGGCCTCCATTTCCGAGCCCGAAGGAAAACTCCTTTGACTTGGTAAGTTTTTCTTCACAAACCCCTTATTTTCTTGCAAAGATCATGTCTTTATGCTTGTAATAGATAAGGGTTTATGGATGAAATAAGCATTTGGGGGGTTTTATTGCAAAAACCGAAACTATAGGGGTTTATTTGCAAAATTCGTGGGTCTGAAATTTTGGGGGCTCTTATGCAAACATGAACTGAAATTTGGGAGGCTTGGGTTCGTGTTTGTTTCTTCAAGAAATGGGGGTGCTTTGTGTAAGAGGGTTAAAGAACTGTTTGAGGGGTTTATTTGCAAAACAGTCCCTAAATATTTGGAGGGGCTTATTGTCAAAAGAGCCACGAATTTGGGGCTGAAATCCAAGAAGTTTAAACCCCCGACCCTTGATCGAATTTTTGGTAAAAGCATATGGATGCAAAACCAAAAGTTCATGGAGGGACTTTTATGTAAAATTGACCAAATTCTGCAAAAGGGCTTATTTGCAAAATTTGATCAAAATTATAGGGTACCGGGATGTTCGATGATCAAGTATGATGACCATAACCCGAGTCATACGTGTCCTTGACCTGAATTTGGCCTTGAGCACGAGGGGTATTTTGGGTATTTCACCAAAATTTTCCGCGAAATGACGATTATCGTTTCGCGTGCACGAAATTCGTAGGCTTAATTAGACTTTAACTACAAAATCCTATTTGTTATTAGGATTTCGAGTCCAAGTGCTTAATTTCCCTTCTTCCGATATTTCGTGTATATATATCGTACCTGATGTACTGCTCTTCATTGCAGATTCACGATGTCTCCCCGTCGGTCTCGTCTTTCCGGGAGTCACCCTTGCTCGCAGCATGGCGTGGAGGAGGCTCCTACGACATCATCTCCAGTGACCTCTTGCTTTGGGGGTAAGAATCTTATATATATTTTTTTCTTTTATCCCGGATTGACCTCTCGCGGGTCATGACGGAAGAACCGATACCCCTCCCGCGGGGGTTAAGGTTTCGGACTTGCTTTGCTTAGCCAATTCAAGTCCTCGGTTATATTGGGGCGATCTCGTGTTGCCTTACACCTTATAGGTCGGTATATGTTATCACGGTGTCTACGTGATGACGCATACCGTTCTCCCGGTGTAGGGCACTCGAAATCGAATAATCTCGTCTTGCGTTTATGACATGGATTTTCTGACTCCATCTTTGCTTTGTTGCAGTTGAGTTTCCCGGGGGTAGTCTCCCTCATCATGCCCCTACCGGTTGTAGTAGGGAAGTGTTTTCTTCGGCTTCTGCCAGGCAGATCATCGATCCCCTTCCGCAGTTCGACAGAGATCGCTCAGACGAGTTCTGTCGCTTGATAAAGGATGGAGGGCGTCACTGTTTACGCCAACTTATCACCGATGCTCCTCTCACCGCAGACGCCACTTCTACTGAAGCTTTAAAGAAGCCGGGTTTTCTATTCGGGGATCGCACCGAAGATCCTGCCGCGCTGACTCTTGCTGAGGAGCACTGGCTTACCCTTGACGAGGGAGCTCTTTTATATATCCCCTCTATTCCTCGCCAGTGCTCTTTTACTGACTTGGAGAAACAGGCTGTGGGGCGACAGATGTCCTGGCCTCTTACCAATGCTGTTACACACGTTCAGTGCGGATACATTTCTCATCACAAGAGTCCCGGTTCTCTGGGGTATCAATCCATTTGTGGCCTTCGACCCGGGATCATGGGTCTTGACACTGCACCTCCAGGCGAGGTATCGGCGGCCGCTCTCACCGTGAGGAATCGTTTAGCTCATCTGGGAAGACAATTACCTCG